AGTATGACAGCCGCTCTTCCCATGCCTCCAACTTGAACTCCGAGATTCCGTTCCAGCACGGCTCAAAGAGCCATTCTTGTACTTTTTACTCCTCACCATCAGCTGCTCATCTTTTTCCCCATCACTTGGGCGCACAAACAATATTTTGGCTTATTTGACGATGCCACAGTACCTCTCAAACCCACCCCTGCGCCAAATATTTGCCCTTTAATATCAAAACAAAACCTTAATAGACCGAAAACAAACTGGATAATAACCAAAAAATCGTAAAAAGAATCTGAACGAAGACAAATGAGCGAATTCACCCCATTATATTTGACAATAATTACCATAAATCTCAGTGAATTCAAATTCCGAGTAATTTGTACCGGCGACCGGCACTTGGCTAGAGCCGCCTCGTCCTCCGAATCCCAATCAAACGAGCTCCATCGTCGCCCATCACTGATATCAATTATCCGAAGATTTTGGTTTCTAAAACCATGAAACTGGAGCTGCAAAGGAAGAAAGCAGAATCAAAACGATGGCGAACGGTGGAGAGGACGACACACAAGCACAGATATTTTGTTCTGCGGACCACTAATGGTTTAGAGGGATAATTTGCTCCAGGGTTTAGGGTTTTGTGTAAAGGATGAGAAAAGCGGTTTAAGTTCGGACGGTTTGGGCGTCCCAGTGTGAACCGGGAGGATGCGGACATACGGTTTGGATAGACCGGTTCAGTTCCATTCAAACCAGTTTGGTCGGAGCGCCGCGTTGATCTTATTTCACTTTATACAAATTTAAGGAAATGTTTTAGTAATAAAATTGTTTTTAACTTGGGAATTTACATACATATCCATCCATTCATATGCATTTACATATCTAACCCTTAACTTTACTTTTTTCATTTATCCCACTCAAATTTGTAATATTGAATCGTAAATAACATAAGATTAACATCTAAAAAGTGAAATTTACATTTTCATGCATAAGTAACAGATATTTAAAGTTTGAAGTTTAAGCATTAGATGTGTAAATACTTAATAATTGATTGATATGTATGTTTATTGGAATAAAATTTAACTCACCATATTTAAGATCAAAGATATGCTCAATATTTCATAAATTCAAGAGGATTTAAAAAAATTATAATGGTCAAATAATCAACAAAATATGAAGGAGGAAAGAAATTGAGAAAAAAATCACAATTTAGAACATAATGAGCAATAGACAGGTTTGGTATTACACTATAGCTTTCGATCAATGAGTTTTTTTTAACAACTTGAATGGCATCACAATTCACAACTTTCTATGTACTCGCTCATATATTTTGATCATGAGAACATGAAAATTGTTTGCTTTATAAGATCTTGAATATCTAAATAAATCATACATTTGGTGAAAAGATTTGGATCCTAGTATAATCAATGTCTATTATATTTTAAGCACCATATATTAATTCATTCTAATATATGAGTTGTTGTCACTTTATTGAGGTCAGAGCTGATTACAAGGGCATGTCATGATAGTCAAGTCATGAAGTTCCAAATGACCACTAACAAAAATGATGTGGAGTAGTGCAATGCTAATAGAATTAAAAGTTGGAAAGAGTTACAGAAAGTTGTTAATGAGGATCATAACAAAAAAGATGAATCAGAGCCCTTACAGAAAATTATAGCCCATACAAAAGAAAAACCCCTCACCTTGTAGAATAGTACAAGACTGATCATCATCACTTTTTCCATAGAGAATTCAAAAGCATACGTTAGACCAGTTGTTTTCCAGATTTATATACGTGTTAAAAAAACTTACAATTAACAACCCATTTGTTTAAGCTCTAGAACAAATGTCTAGCAATGTTAAATTTATGAAGGATATCTCAAACAAGAAACAAAAACTAAAATGCTTTAAGACAATTGCCCTAACAGGGGAGTGCAGTGCTATCAAAAAAAAATTAAAGATTCGAGTAGCTTTACCATCACTTGTGCTATATGACAAAAATTCTCTCGGAAGGCTTTAGGTGAATTAGGGGTCAGTATCAACCTTATGTTCTTATCTATCTTTAGGAGATAAGTATTAGGAGAAATACTAACGTACCATAATGACCCAACAATTAGTTAACCATTTTAGGTATGGAGAAAAATGTATTTATTCAGGAAGATTCAAGATGAGAACTAAAATTTGATGGCTTAAAAAATTGTCAATAACAATGAAAACATTATAAGATTGATCAAGGACAATTGAAAGGATAATTTAATCATGGAGAAAAATTTTAGGAAGGAATTTACATTGTTTCGATTAGGCAATAAACAAAGCGCTAGTAGGAATGAAAAATAAATGTCATCTTGTTGTTTAATTGTATGTTGTTTTGCTTTATTACGTATGTCTATTATTTGGTCAGATTGATGACATCAAAATAAACACTTATGGATGGAAATATAATATATTTTTTCTTACTTTAATGTGTGTATTTTTGGGTTTGTTAATAATTATCTCTAAAGTATACACCTTCGCTCAAGTTTAGGAGCACGGTTATGAAGAGGACGATGTTGACTAACTTGCTTGGAATTGTGACTTTGACCATAGTATTGCTTAGTCAATTTATGGATAATTTGTGATTATTAATGTTGTTTTACTGTTATGTATTCATTTATCAGTTATCATATGTGTTCACTTGTGAATTATTTTATGTTTTTCCCCTATATTCATCTAATTACATGCCCTTTATTATTATTTTTTTGTTATATTATTATCTACATGTGTAGTGTAGAATAAATTTGAGGGACAGAAATTTATAAGAATTATGCCCTAAAGTAAGAGTAAATATCTAAGTCTTAGAGTTCTATTGAAAATGATAGATTTAATTAGTGATGAAAATAAGTAAATGTGGCATAAATCTTCATTAAGCATTGAAAACTGTTAATGATTGTCTAATGATTGACCCCTAAGTAGAAATAACTACACTTATATATAACGATTCCTAAACATTTAGATTAAAATTGACTATAAATAATACGAACCCAACAAATATATATAACAATAACTACAAAAATTTTAATTTGCACTTAGTTGCCATTTAACTATAATCATTTGAATTGAGCAAGGACATGCTTGAGAATTTCACTTAGGAAAGAATCAGTATTCAAAATTAAAAAAAAAAATCTAAATCATATATAGTAATTTTCTTGAAAGATAACTGAAAAAGAAAAAACTAAAAAAAAAAAAGATTGAAAAAACTCAAGTAAAAAGAAAATATTTTGAGGAGATTTAAAAAAGAAGCCTGAGATTAATCTTGAAATCTAAAATTGTTATCAATCTCGATTTAAAAAAGTTAAAAAAAGTCCTAATTCATGATATTGTTTTCAAAAGGGGAATAATTGAATTAATATTATTTAGTTAATTTGAAGTATATATATTTAAAAAATAATCTTATTTAAATATAAGCGATTTAGGGGTAATTATATAGACAGATTATTGACAAAAGTTATGTTGGGATGTTAGGGTCTTCGAAGAAATTTCAATATTAAGAAGAGATTAATGTGTATTTAAGTATTTATTTACCTTATCACTAAAGAACCATATAATCCCAATATATAATTTGCAATAAATCCTTTTGGATTTTGCATGGTTTAGGAAGTAAAGCCTAACATGAAATATCAAGCTTTCTTAAGACCATTGCAAGAGGCTAAAGAGACAAGTTGCTCCTCATTGTCACTAACAACTGAAGCACGTGATTAATTCTAAAATTTTAGGTCCAATCTAGGAGCGTCCGCACGCACATAGAGCTGTGCGCACCCTCCGATCACAGCCGCACATCGCGGCTATACTGTCATATAGCTGCAATATGCGACTGTGATCGGAGGGCACGCGCAGCTCTGCTTGCGCCCTCCGCACCTAATAATTAGACCCAATCTAGGGGGCAATCTTTTCACTTGATAGACAACCCCTCTTTCCCAATTTAGGATTTTGTTGTTGAAAAAATTAAAACTAATAATTTTTAAATCTCCAAAATTTGAACCCTTTAAGCTAGAATTAGAACCACCAAACTAGAATATTCACTTGTCGTGGAAATTAAACAGTTCCCTGTGGGATCAATACACGAAATAAAAAATATATATACTACTTGATCGACACATACTCGTTGCGTGCTTGATCCGTACATCACAGCTACATGCATCATACATATTAACCATTTAACTAAAATTTAATAGGCAAATTCAGTAATATGTAGGATGAAAACAATGAAACTTCATTGCAAGGATCCCCATGCATATCTCAATCTTTCTAAAATATATCTAGCATTCCACATTATATATATTCAATTCAGCCATGTAGATACTTGCAATCCTGATTATTTGTACCTTGCATTATACTCCACTAATACTTCAAAAGATTTTGGTAAAATTTCTTCCTAAAAGAGGGGTTGTGGCTTACTCTTCCAATCTAGGAGAAAATATTAAGCAAGGAGAAATTTGAGATTACCACTCAATTCTTAAGTATGTACATATCTAACTCCTAAGCTTCACTTTTTATGTAAATGCCACATTACTTCTAATGAAAATATGTATTTAACAATTAAAAGTTGTGATACTTTTGATGAGATATGAAAGTTTGGGTGTCATAAATGTAAAAAAAATTAGAACGTTAGATATGTAAATGTGTAAGAATTGGGTGGCAGGCATGTTAATGCCCCAGGATTATTTAACAGTCCCTTTGCTAAACGCCAGATGCCCTTGGAAATAGTGAATCATTAATCTTATGTTTGATATTTAGGTGCCCTTGTTGTTCAGGCCAACCGTCCAAACTATCGGAAAAAAATTGCGTACGCAGAGTGGCGTACGTCTGTAACCTGCAAATAGTTTTTAAGGAGGATATTGGGAGATTATAACCGCGTTATACCCCATGTAACCTCCCTGTAACTTACCTGTATATAAAAACAGAAGCGCGGAACTTAGTAGAAGGTACAGTTAGTTTACAGGGAGTTTACAGGGGGTATAACGCGATTATAACTTCCGAATATCATCTTTGTAACCTAATTACAGGTTACAGCCGTGCGCAGCTCTGCGTAATGTCTTATGTACACAAATTTCTTCCCAAACCACCAAACCATACTCTAAGAAAATATATCAAGCTTGCCAAAAACCAAAAAGGATAATTACATGCATGCCACTCAAAACTTAATTATTTACAAAACAAACACTCGTCAATTTTGAACAAACCAAATCATTTATACATTGGAAATATGATAAAAAAAACAACAAAATATGGGTTGGGATTTTATTTTGATTTTTTATATTTTGAGTAAGAATTTAAAATATGGATGAAAGAGCAATCAAGTTCTGTAAATATCAAAAGCTTCAGAGTCGTGTATGTAATTGCCCCCAAAAAAAAAGCTGGAAAACTACAACAATTAGAGGAAACAAATCCATTTAAAATAAATACCAACCCTATTAAAACTATCAAAACAGCATCAAATTACTGAACACAACTTCGTTTTAATAATGAATAAATTTTAATTCAACATACAACAAATAAACAAAAGGAAAGAAAAAAAAGATGAACAAATGCACAGATAGTTTAGATGTCATCACTGTCGAAAAAGCTACTCGGTTCAGAGAAAACAAAAAGGCTCGGAAAGATAAAAGCATAGCAGAACAAGTGTAATACAAGGTTGAATGATGCCTGAAATGCAACCTGGATTGATTGATCTTTGTAATCTCATCAGAATATCTGATGCAAACATTACAACATGTTATAGAAAAGCATCCTTCTCAAGTAGCTTCAGAACCTCATCCTGATTGTTTAACTTCGCCACCTCAATTGGTGTTTTACCATCCAAATTTTGGAGTGTACTGCAACAAATATCCAAGATTAAAACAATGCAGCATCCTTAAAAGTAGCAAGGAATATATATATATATATATAGATACATGAAAATTTACATACATACCACACAATTCTTATGTATTTACAAGTTTATAACACTTTGGTGTTAAATAACTAGGTGTAAAGTTATAAAACTAGGTGACACTAGTATTTTTGATATTATGTCAAAGCTTTGAGTGGTGTGTTTTTAAATATATATGCGAACTATGTGTTAATGTGTGCAAATGCCCCGTATAGGAGTGAATTGAGCTAAACTGACTCGTAAGCTGACTAGGGCTCGGCTTGAAAAGCAGCTTGTGAATTGAGTTTGATCAGCTAAGAAACCAACCTCAAGCCAACCCCAACTCAAAGCATTAGTTCGTGAGCCCGCTCGTTTTTATAAATATTCATATAAAATATACTCAAAATATATTAAAATTCAAAATTTTATCTTTAACTTATTAAAAATATTTTAAAAAATAATATTTTATATTTTATATCAAATGATTTTTTACTAATTATATTTATCATTTTATTATAATACTAGCTTAATTTAATATTTTGTTCACTCT